CATACCAGAGGTGGTGGCTTCAGACCCGGCCTAAAACTACAAAAGAAGAAAAAGAAAACCTGAGTAAAGAGGATACCTTGAATCTAAAAATTGGAGGTTGGGCAGTACTGGTGGCTCAGGGAGTAGGGTGCTGGCCTCACATGCCAGGGTCGGTGGGTTCAAGCCCTGCCCCGGCCAAACTACAACAACAAAATCAATAAAAATAAACTGTTTAAAATAAACAAATAAAATAAAAAAAAAATAAAAATTGGAGGTTGTTCTAAACTATGATGCAATGGCATTCTACCCAGGGTAATAGCTTGAGACAGTCTCAAAAAAAAATAAAATTTTTTTTTTAAAAATTCAATTATTTTTTCATTTTATTTAGAGACCAAGTCTCACTTTGTTGTCTAAAAAAAAAAAAAAGAAGAAGAAGCAACAAAATACAATATTAGAAAGCTAAGTCTAAAAGGGGATCAAAATTTATATATGAGTATCAGGATTCAAGTAGGGTTATCCCAGGAACAAAAGAAAACATCAATGTAATTTTCTTCACTAATAAAGAAAAATATCAGCCAGGCACGGTAGCTCACGCCTATAATCTCAGTACTATGGGAAGCTGAGGAGGGGGAATTGCTTGAGTTAAGGAGTTTGTGACTTGCCTGAGTGACAGACCCCAACTCTTAAAAAAATGAAAAACCCAGCTGGCGCCTGGGCAAGCACCTGTAATCTCAGTGGCTTCCAGAGGTGGAGGCAGTGGAATGCCCATAGCCTGAGTCTAAGGTTACAGTGAGCTATGATGCCATTGCACTCTGCTCAAGGCATAGGATGGGATTCTGTCTCATCAAAAAAACAAACAAAAAAAAGGGCAGCGTCATCTGTGGCTCAAGGAGTAAGGCACTGGCCCAGAGGTAGCAGGTTCAAACCTGGCCCCAGGCAAAAACTACAAAAAAAGGGGAAAAAAAAATCATAAGAGTATCTCAATCAATGCAGGAAAAGAATTTGAAATTCACCAGGCACAGTGGCTCACTCCTGTAATCCTAGCAATCTGGGAGGCCCAAGGCGGGTAGAGGGCTTGAGCCCACTGGCTTGAGACCAGCCTGAGCAAGAGTGAGACTATTTCTATTAAAAATAAATA